CACTAAGTGCCCATATGAAGAAAACAGAGGATAGTCACATAAATGAATTAACAGCGCAACTGAAAACCTTAGAACAGAGAGAAGCGAATTCACCCGCAGGAGCAGACGCCAGGAAATAATCAACTTGAGGGCTGAAATCAACAAAATAGAAACCAGGAAAACAATACAAAAAATCAATGCAACAAAGAGTTGGTTTTTTGAGAAAATCAACAAGATTGATAAACCTTTATCCAAATTAACGAAAAAGCAGAGACAGAACATGCAAATTAACAAAATCAGAAACGAAATGGGGAACATAACAACAGACACAGAGGAAATCCAGACAATTTTCAGGTCATACTTCGAAAATCTGTATTCCACAAAAATTGAAAATTCAAAGGAAATGGACAAGTTTCTGGATAACTATCACTTACCAAAATTAAATCAAGAACAGACAAACAACTTAAATAGACCTATAACCCGAAATGAAATAGAAGCAGTCATCGAAAGCCTTCCAACGAAAAAAAGTCCAGGGCCAGATGGATTCAATGCAGAATTCTACCAGACATTCAAGGAAGAACTAATACCACTACTCCTCAAACTGTTCCACAAGATAGAAACAGAAGGTTTATTGCCAATCTCTTTTTATGAGGCCACAATAACTTTGGTACCCAAACCTCACAAAGACACAACTAAGAAAGAAAACTACAGACCAATATCCCTGATGAACATCGATGCAAAAATACTCAATAAAATAATGGCAAACCGAATTCAAAAATACATCAGAGAAATCATCCACCATGATCAAGTAGGCTTCATACCTGGATTGCAGGGATGGTTTAACATACGAAAATCTATCAACGTGATCCACCATATAAACAAACGGAAAAGGAAAAACCATATGATTATCTCCCTAGATGCAGAAAAAGCCTTCGATAAAATTCAACACCCTTTCATGATAAAGGTATTAGAGAGGTCAGGGATAACAGGAACATACCTAAACATAATAAGAGCAATATACAGCAAACCAACTGCCAACATCAAACTGAATGGAGAGAAACTTAAGCCAATTCCTCTAAAATCAGGAACAAGACAAGGCTGTCCTCTCTCTCCATATCTCTTCAATATCGTACTAGAAGTTCTAGCTAATGCTATAAGAAAACAAAAGGAGATCAAGGGCATCCAAATTGGAAAGGAAGAAGTCAAACTGTCTCTATTTGCAGATGATATGATAGTTTACATAAGCGACCCAATAAACTCTACCAGGGAACTCCTACAGCTGATAAACACCTTCAGCAAACTAGCAGGATACAAGATAAACTCAAAAAAATCAGTAGCCCTATTTTTTTCAGACGACAAAGAGGCAGAGAAAGAAATCAGAGAAACATCACCCTTTACAATAGCCACAAGCAACATAAAGTATCTTGGTGTAACGCTTACCAAACAAGTAAAAGATCTATATAATAAGAACTTTGTGACTCTAAAGAAAGAAATTAAAGAAGATACCAGAAAATGGAAAGACCTCCCATGCTCTTGGATAGGTAGGATAAACATAGTAAAAATGGCAATCTTACCAAAAGCAATCTACAGATTCAATGCAATCCCCATTAAAATCCCACCACAATTCTTCACCGACCTTGAAAGGATAATAATCAACTTTATATGGAAAAACAAAAGACCCAGGATAGCCAAAACAACCCTATACAATAAAAAGAACATCAGGAGGCATCACCATTCCTGACTTTAAGCTCTACTACAGAGCTATAGTTCTGAAAACAGCCTGGTATTGGCATAAAAATAGACAGGTAGACCAATGGAATCGAATTGAAAATCCTGATATTAATCCACGCACCTATGAACACCTGATTTTCGACAAAACAGCTAAAATTATACAATGGGGCAAAGACAGCATCTTCAACAAATGGTGCTGGCACAATTGGATGAGGGTGTGTAGAAGACTGCAGATAGACCCATGTCTGTCGCCATGCACAAAACTCAAGTCCAAATGGATCAAAGACCTCAACATCAATCCAGCCACATTGAACCTCTTAGAAGAGAAAGTAGGAGGTACCCTTGAACAAATTGGTATAGGAGACCGCTTCTTGACACTGAAAGACACTGACACTGAAAGAAACAATTAATAAATGGGACCTCTTCAAACTTCAAGCTTCTGTAAGGCAAAGGACACAGTTGACAAGACCAAACGGCAGCCCACTGACTGGGAAAAGATTTTCACTAATCCTATATCCGACAAAGGGCTGATCTCCAAAATATACAAAGAACTCAAGAAACTAGTCAACAAAACACCAAATAACCCTATTAAAAAATGGGGTACAGAACTGAAGAAAGAATTCTCAATGGAGGAAATCAAAAAGGCTGAAAGACACTTCAGAAAATGTTCCACATCCTTAGCTATCAGGGAAATGCAAATCAAAACAACTTTGAGATACCATCTTACTCCTGCCAGAATGGCTAAAATTAGAAACACCAGTGATGACTTATGTTGGAGAGGATGTGGAGAAAGTGGAACACTCCTCCACTGCTGTTGGGAGTGCAAACTCATACAGCCACTTTGGAGATCAGTATGGCGGTTCCTCAGGAAAATGGGAATTAGTTTACCACAGGACCCGGCAATCCCCCTCTTAGGCATATATCCAAAGGATTCACATCAATGCAACAAAGACATCTGTTCAACTATGTTCATAGCAGCACTATTTGTAATAGCAAGAACCTGGAAGCAACCTAGATGCCCTTCAATTGAAGAATGGTTAATGAAGATGTGGCACATCTACACAATGGAATACTACTCTGCAGAAAAAAATAATGGTATCTTGAAATTCGCAGGCAAGTGGATGGCACTTGAAGAAACCATCCTGAATGAGGTAACCCAGTCACAAAAAGAGAAACACAGTATGTACTCACTCATATATGGATTTTAGACCTAGATCAAATGATCACCAGCCTATAATTCACACCACCAGAGGAACTAGGATACAAGTTGTATTCTAAGAGATTCATATAAAGTCCCTCACAGAACTGGGAAGGGACAAGTCCCCCAGACCTCAGGTAAAGTGGGGGAGGACAGCTAATGGAGAGAGAAGTAGGAGAAAATGAGGGGGAGGAGAAGAAGGCATGTGCGACCAGGAGGATTGAGCCTGGTTAGGAATGGAAAATAGGAAAGAGAGAGAGACAGAGACAGAGACAGAGAGAGAGAACATAAAAGAGGGAGCCAATATTGGTTTGAAGATAAAGTTGAACACAAAGAAAGGTCGAGGGAACTACAAGACTGCTCCCAACTAACAATCTCAGCTTCCGTGGAAAGGCTATCATAAATGCCCTTCCCGGAGAACGAGATCAACAACTAACTTCTCCATGGAGCCCTCAACTAATGCCTGTTGAAAATAGGAGCAAACACCCATACATAAACACTGAGTCGAACTAGAACCCAGAAGCAGATGGAGAGGACAAGACCATGCGGTAGAAGTACATAGAGACAGCTTACCTGAACAAGGAGGAGCTAAGGGCCACTAGACTGATAGCTGGGAAGCCAGCAGGGGACTGACTCGGACCCCCCTGAATATGGGTCTCAGCCAGAAGGTCTGAGCAGTCTAAGAGACCTCAGACAGTGGAGCCAGGATGTATCCCTGGTGCACAAAAGGACTTTGCAAACATGTCCCCCATGGAGGGATAACTGCCTTATTCTAGAGATAGGAGAGAAGCCCTAGTCCCTACTTCACAGGACCTGTCAGATCCACATGACCCCAACTGGATAGCATTCCCCTACATATGGTATTGTGGTGGGGGGTTGGGAGGGGAGGGTGTTTAGAGTGCATGTGAGAGGGCAGAGAGGGTAAAAGGGAGGGAAGGAGGGAGGGAGGACTGGAGGAGAGGGAGGGAGGGAGAGGGAACTGGGATCGACATGTAAAATAATAAATTAAAAAAAAAAAAAAAAAAAAAAAAAACGCTTTGACTCCAAAATTTAAGTTGAAGAACAAGTTACTGGGGAAAAGTATTTCTATTTTTGTTTCCACAGAAAATGAAAAGATGTGGATTCCTTCCAGACTAATGTGGTTTGATCACGCCAGACCGCCTGAAACAGAGTACAAGCTGATCCTACATTCCAAACAGCTGGACAAAACAGCCCTACAGACTACAGCTAGGATATCTGAATCTTCTTCGAATCCCCCAAGACAGCGCCCCTTACCAGCAGGAAGTAGTTTGGAAAGAACGACGCCCAAATTCCCAAATATTGTGTATAAATGTTTGTTTTCATTTAATTGGACTTTGTTATATAAAATTAAATTAAAAAATTATATATATAAAAAAATGTCTGAAGGTAGCAAAGCACCATTTTCTACATTCTAATAGCATATTCTGATAAAATTCTTACAAATTATAAATCCATATGGTGATGTGCATTTATGTAAGTTTTCAGGGCTATCAGCAATCACTGTATGTTGTAATGCTAGGTAAAGTCAATTCACTTTAACACTATATTTAATGAATTTCTTAATTACAACTATTTTATTTGCTTACAGAACACCAAAGTCTCCATTCTGGAAGGTATCACACTCTTTCTGGGTAGTAGGGTTAATTATACATGTCTATTCTCTTCCATGGCAGAGACAAGTAAGAACACTAGTGACCAAAATAAATAACTGAAGCTTAATCCTTGGCACAACTGGTTGGTAACAGGCAACATCAAATTTTGAACTACTAGAGAAGATAGCTCTTTAGAATGAATCAAATCCTGAGGTTATCACTCTGATACTGTTCATAGCATCTACTATTTAATCTGAAGTCTCAAACCTGGTATAACTTTTTTACTATCAAAAATAATGCAAAGTGTCTTAAGAATCTAAAAGCATACTTTAACTCAACTTGCACCATTCAGCTTAAGCACTTAATAATCAATTGGTTCTCTGGGACAAGGAAAACAGTGCTTACATGTGGCTCCTGGTTCATTGTTTGCCAATGAAAAGGATGATCTTTTAAAGGTTTTAATTTAAATATTCATGTACCTGTCTTTGGATGTTTCTGCCACCACACCATTCTTGTTCTGATGCTTTTATAGTTGGCTCTGCTGTAATATAATTAGTTTAAAACTGTAAGAAAAGGTCAACAAAGTGATAGTTTGTAATACCCATCACAATGGGTACATCGGCAAAACATTCCCATACCTAAGACTCAGGGAACATTACAGGAGGGAATGGAAAGGTTGTTAAGAGTCAGAGGATCAGGGACTTTGCTGTAGATAGTGTGTCATAGCAACATCAGAAACTTACTAAAGTTTTAACAACATGACTGACTAAACATGAGCTGACAAGGGTAACACCAATGAACATGCAAAACTGCACAGAAAAGTCCTACACAAAGAACTACAGGCAACTTAAGAAATCTGGGAGAGGGAGAGACGTTCTTCCTGAGGGAAGAACATTTCAACTTGTCTAGTGCTAAACAGCCTGGAAAACATATATACAAGTATCAATATATGGACTGAACATGCCATAGTCATATGTGTGTGTGTGTGTGTGTGTGTGTGTGTGTGTGTGTGTGTGTGCGTGCAATACCAACTAGTGAGAAAAGAGGCAATGTAATTGAAGAAAGAATGCAGAAAGTATGTAGGAGATTTTGGAGGAAGGAAAGGGAAAGCAGAAATATTGTATTTACATTATAATCTCAGAAATAAAATAGAATTTAAAAACTCAAATAGGTATCTATCAATTAAGAAGACATAAGTAACTACCAAAAGCCTCAATACATAGTACAGATGAAGGGCAGAGGTTGCCAGGTGCACAGAATCACACAAATCTCATGGGACTATGCACATATTCCACTAACTATAAAGGATCACACTTTCAGAAGCAAAACTGAAAAACACAGACTCAAAGAAATCATACTAGGTTCTGTTCTCTACACTGTCAGAATGACACTGTAAACATCAGCCAGGCATTTTCTTAAGCTGGACACTTACCTTCCAATACCAATCTTCTATTGCGGGTCTCCCTCTTCCTCAAGGATCACTGGCCATTGGTCCACGAGGGAAGAGGGAGCAGAAGCAGTGAGAAGGTTCCCATGGCTTGTGGGTATGACTGAAACAGTTTTCCTGCAGACTGCTTCAGTGGTACATCTCAGCTTTATTCCAAAGTGAGGGGAGACATATAGGATGGGGACAGCAGCTGGGGCATCACCTAACTTGCACTTGGCAGCACCTGATATACAGATGGAGCACAATATCTAATTATTATATGGGCAGCAGGACAAAAGGTCTGCAGGGATCTGTGCAAGGAGCATGCTTGAGATACAGGCTGGGGGACAGCTTCCAGATAAGATCATGTCTCCCTGGTTTGATGCACTATCCAGGTGGGGAGGGGGCTCTGCTGTAAAGGGGGTCCCTATTAGGCACTGAGCTCAGAGAGCTGTCCATACATAGTGGACTTTAACTTTAAGGACAGGGTATTCCAACATTCTATGAAAATCTTATCACATTACTAATATCCAAAACCAAATTATCCAAAATATGACAATGTCATTTTCTTCTAAATGTCACTACTTCTAAAATACAGTGTAATATAAAGTCTTCCTTGATTATGGTTCTCTTTCTTTAGATAGAAATGCATTGTTTTCCTTGGGGCTACCGTGGAATTTTGTAGATTTTCAAAAATTTCCTTACAATTAAGTTTATAATATGTTGTTTCACATATCAAATCCTATTGCTCCTGAACTTGAGAGAAAATTTGTACTTGAACTTTGCAAAATCTGTCTTAATATCATCTTACTCAAAAATTACTTATTGAATGCCTTCTCTTGTAATTCACAGTGTTCAAGAAAATGTCAAGAGAAAGCCTTTCAGAAATAATACCCTACTGGAATACTACAGAGTGATTTAGGTACACAGAGGAATCTTACAGAGGACAGAAAGACACGGATGCGTAAAGTGTTTAGCAAGAGAGTTAGTGAACAATGACAGATGTATCATACTATAATATATGGAGAGCTGAGGCAACATCACCTGCTATTCAGTAACATTAGACACTATGTTATCTATAAGAAATATGATGTTGGCCATAAGAAAAAATATTCTGATTATGAAATTTTTTTATTAAGATGCATGCCATTGTCTTAGTTTGATATTTTATTGTTCTGAAGAGACAACATGAACACAGCTGACTTATAGTTTCAGAGGTCCAGTCCACTATCACCATGACAGGAAGCATGGTAGCATGCAGGCAGATGAGGTGCTAGAGCTTAAATCCCTACATCTTTCAGGCAACAGGAAGTTTGCTGAGACAATGGGAAGTATCCTGAGCATAGGAAACCCCACAGTGACATAATTCTTCTATCGAGACCACACCCACTCCAACAAAGCTACACCTCCTAATAGTGCCACTCTCTCTGAGATTATGGGGGCTAATTACATCCAAACTACCACAGTCATTAATGGCAAAATTAAAAAGTTGATTATGTCTTTGTGGATGAGAGAGTTCACTCTAAATGCAAATAGAATATATGTTAGTAAGAATGAATATATATGAATAATAATTAATAATAAAGAATAAAATGATCCAACCCTAAACACAGGGAATTTTTCAGGTATAGTCTGACTATTAAGTTATTAGACAAAAGGACATAAAATATTTTATTGAATAGTATAAGCACAAATATTATCCCATGAAACTATTCTCTCATCATTTTGGGCATCAAATGAAATGCATAGAGTGAGTAAGTTATTTGTGTTGTCTTTCTTCCTGTTTTACAACTTCCTTGTTCATAAACTAATCAAGAAGTTTTTCAGGGTACCCTGCTCCTTGTGTGTACTAGGCTCACCAAGAAACAATAATTCATGGTAGAGTTAAGAATAGCATGTGTGAATCTTAGTTTCAATCTTGAAGGAATTTAAAATAGTCTACATAAATTAATAAGTAGTAAACAAACAACAACCTCAAGTACACTGAAAATAAGCACAATAAGAAAATAGGATAGGAGCTGAAAAGATGGCTTAGGGGTTTAGAGCACTTGCTTCCCAGTGTCGCTCACAACCATCCAAAACACTAGTTCCAGGGGATCTATTGCCCTTTTCTGATCTCCATGGATACCCACACAAATTTATGGATACATACCTGTAAGCAAACACTAACACGCATACCCAAATTTAAATTTAAAATAATATAGAAACTTAAAAGAAGATGTTGAGTATAGGCATATGAATTTGGATTTTGAGTTTATGTAGCCTAGTATTAGAGATCTTCTATAATACAGAATGATATTTATATATGTTAGGAAAACAGTTTATCATGTCATAGTACTTCTTACTGCAGACCCTCTAACACGATAGTCCAAAAGCACTAATTAATCAATACATAAATTAGCAGATAGATAATCAATAGACTCTATGTTCAAATTGAACTAATGAGTCTAATTAGCACATATACTTTGTAGGAATATATTATGTGAATTCTGGATCACCCCACATTCATGGCTTCATAGCAAGTATCCCTGCTACAGAATTCCAGGAAGCTGAGTACACAGGTATGAAGCGCTGCAACCCCAAACTAGCAAATTTTGAAAGCAAGATGGTCATTCCTAACTGACTACACATAACCACTGAGGACCACAGAGATGCCAAAATGGCTCTATTACTAAGACTTAAAATTCAAAATCTCTAAGCCACAGCTTTATTTCCCAGCTAAGAAATAATGTTTAGCAATAGTTTCATTGTTTACATCAAATCCTTCCATGAAACTAGAAGAATGGATGCATAGAAATGAGAAGAAGGAAAGCATTTCAAATATTTGGAACCTCTCAGTTTATAAATTTTGGCACTATTCACCTGTGAGGAGGGATTTCACATACTTCATTGATGATACTTCACTTGAAGCAGAGTCTTCTCTTTCTATTGTAGGCTGCATAGACTAAGAAACAAATATACAATAACTCATATAATCCCTGCAAAGAAGTTATTGATTCAGACAAAATATAAGAGGAATTACCTTCCATTGAAGATGTTCTGAGGATTCTACAATGGCAAAGAGTCACACAGTCAATTATGCATGAATATAATAGAATGGACTGTCCTTTCATATAAGGTTAGTATGAAAAAGTACTCTTCATGTTTACATTTTGAAATGTTTACTTTAAGTTTTGATCTTGATGGGATTTTACTTTGCTTGTTCTGTAATGGTCTCGTTAGGAAATCCCCCTTGAAACCCATTACTATAGCATGAAACAGTATTTTCTTATTAAAGAAAGTTTTCTGAATTTATAAGGTTGGATATTTGCTTCCAGGTGATGGTACATAACAATATCCCATATCAGTATACACATGAGTGCATTTGCCCTTTTGTTTGTTTGTTTTGTTTGACAATTGCATTTCTGTGGTTTATTTTTTCCTCTCTAGTTCACACATACTAAATATTTCAGTTCACTACACAGGAAGCATGTCACTCTGAACTACAAATAATTCATAAGAAGTACAAAAATAGAGTTGTTCCAAGAAGAATTAAGGCCTTCATTTTAACATGAGAATGGGACGGAGGGAGGGATGGAGGGAGGAAGGGAGGGAAGGAGATTTCTTTAAAAAGAAGCCTACATGAAAACAAAACTCATCACAGACTTCTTGTCTCAATCCTCTCCCCTCCACTCTCCTTGCTGAGATTGTGGGCTTGTGCCATCATGTCAAATTCAAATGAAACTTTTATAAAATGAAGTTGTTACCTTCCTCTTGGCATTCTGTAGTATTTTCTCTGCTTTCATCATTAGCCATGGATAAATATGCAATGTTCCTTGGTTGAGGTCCTTTGAGAACACTCTGTTAAAATTAGCATTGGTAATGGGTTACCTAGAGATTTTTTGTTTCTTTTCCTTTACTGTTTTAAACAAGTATTCACAATACAACTGGCATGTACTGAAAATTAAGGAAAAAAACATTATATGTGTCTTCTAAATATAGACTATGTTGTATTTTCTTAGGTTCTCTGATGTGTAAACAAGATAGGAAAGCCTAAAGATGAGATACTCACAGACAGAGGGTGGCCAAGGTGCATAAACAATTAGCTTCAGGATACCTAAATGTTATTTACTCCTAGGAAAACTGTGAGAACTTTTACAGTAATGACTTTTTAATCCCATAGGGAAATTTACAATAGCACTGTGCTAAATGTTTAAAACATTTTTAATGGCAGAAGTGCCTTGAGTGTCTAACAAAGACATCTAAAAGGCTTCAATGTGCATGATATTATTACAAACAAAATGTTGTCATGGAGGCTCCATTTGGGATTAAAGGTTGAAATATTTTGTGAGAAACTTTTCTTATGGGAAAAAAAACAGCTATATAAAATAGTGAAGAAATATGAAAAGGACAAATTAGGATATATTTGAATAACATGGAAATATGATATAATATAGGCAGTCCTTTCACATTGAAGGAAATACAAAAATACAGCAAACACTAATTAAAATAGAGGCATAAAAACATTTCTTCTATGTAGTGAGATATTCACTTTGTCCACAAGTGTGGCACTGACCACGCCCATTGGGGGTGGAGACAGGGGCAGAAGTGACCTGGGGGAACTAGGTCTGAGGGGACCCACGACCCTGGGATTAAGATGAAGCCGTGCTTCATTTTCTTCCTGTGAGAAAACACATACATGCCCTCCACCCCATTTAAGGACAGGATCGGGCCCTTTCAATACTCCAGTGCATGGATCCTTCCATTTGACTTGAGCAAATGTTGCTCGAGTTCCCATGCCAGAATCTGTCCACGGCAGATTGCTAACTGGTGTCAACATTTAAGTAATCTAAAATGAAGAGTGCATGATTTAACAAATCATGTGGAGGATGGGGGCCCAACTCCCCTCTCCTTATTTTTCAAGTTGTTTTCAAGGAGCTATGAGCATGCTCCACAATTCCTTGCCCTGTGGATTATAAGGAATACCTGTTCTGTGTTCAATTTTCCATTGAGCACAAAATTGCTGAAATGCTTTACTGGTTTATGCAGATCCATTGCCTGTCTTTATAATCCTTGAGGTCAGGAGTAGCCACACCTCAGACTTCTAAGTGTATGAAATTCACCTGGCTTCTATTTACACATTTTATTTTCCATATATTATAAACTACAAGATAACCACAATGAATATACACTTTCTTCAAGTTTTCTGATCAGACTAAAGTGCTGAGTCTTAAAGGGGTAACAGGTGTGACTCACTGTTATCTTTCTCCTCATGTTCTCTGATGTCATTCTCCATGGGCCCTTCTTTGTCCTTTTGTTGGCAGCCTCAAAGTTAGATCCCAAAATATATTATTGGAATAAAAATTTTCCCTGTCACTACTACACCTAACCTAAACACAAACGCTTCCAACTTAATACAATATGGTCTCAATATATAACATTTGTGCTATTTTTCCTTTTATTTGCTCTTATGCTATTATTTTCTACCAGGATCTAATAGCCTAGCACTTGCCTAATACTGAATAATTTCAAATTATTTAAAGTGCAAACAACTGAAGGGCTGCAAAGAGGCCTCAAATAGTAATGGCTCTCTTGTATCTTTCAATGGATTTGTATAAATTATAAAACCATATAGTAGCACAAATACATGCTCCTTGTACTGTATTGAGTCTTTATATAGTCTAATGCCAAAAGTCAGTGGTTAACATGTTTTATACTAATGGTTTTATTTGTTGAAGTACATATAACATTTAATACATTGTTTGTAGCAGAACAGCACAAGTTCCATCCAGAGCATGACTAAACAGGCACTGATGCTGCTCGCTTCTTTCCTGCCTAGGGAGCAAAGGAAGAATTGAAACTTAAAGTTTGAGATAGTGACTGGCATTTAATTTGAGTTACATTCAACTTCTGTGTGACTGACGATGATAATACACAGGCATGAAATATATTCAGGAGCCAGCACTGCTATGTTGCTCATAATCTTGCCTGTGTAGCCAAAAGTGTTTTGATTGATATTTAACATGTAAGGAATATCTAGGATCAGAATGCAAAAATAATGAAGAAAGTGTGGAGTTGAATCCAAGAACAGGATTTTGCTTAAGCTGTGTAACTTATAAGGTATTATATATTACACAGATGCTCATAGGATGATAAAGAATTCGATCATAATAAAAGTTTTAAAATAAATGTTTAAATTATGACCTATTGAGTCTCAAGAGCAGTTTGAAGAAATTTCTGGTGTACTATGGTATATCATATATCAAAGAAACTATCTTAAGCAACAATTTAAAAGTAAATACTTAAGTACCACTCTCTGTTCCTTTTGGGGATCATCATGACAATTTTGCTCTCCCTCTGATGTCACTTTTCCAGCTGATTCTGCTGACAAACCCATATAGTTAATTCAAATACTCTCAGTTGACTTTTTTGAATGATAGTCTATATACCTATAGAATATCCACAATAATGAAAACTGAATTTTTAATTTCCAAGTTAAAAACTTCAGTTAAGATTAAATTATTTGGATACAGACTTTGGGAATCTATGCAATTACAAAAATACCTTCGGTAAACCATATACACATAGTCAGTAAAGAATGATATGTTAAAGTCCATTCCCAATTATTCTGTCAAACATGCCTAAAATGTGTTTACAGAAACAATACTAAAATGTATGTGAAATCAAACAAAATCATATTGAAATAAGTCTGAGGGTTCAGTTAACCATTTTCTTCAATGAATTATTCATCCTTCCAACCCTCATTCTGTGAACAACCTGCTCCTTACATCACAATTTTTCATTTATCTGGTGCTTTGACAAGCTTCTTTTTCCATTAAGACTTAGTATAATATTTGAAAAATCCTCTATTATAGTTACATTTTAGTAGTAAGATATAATCTGCTGTCTACAGTATGCTGGTAGCACTTTTCAACATTTTTTATAACATCAATCACAAGTCATTTCTTCATATAAAACAATTTTTCTCCTGGACTAGAGAATATAATTTTAACTTCATCTTTGTTCAGTCAGTCCTTAGTTCATTTTATTCAATAATTAGTTATGAAGTTCCTAGCAAGAGCTATTCCTAAAATTTAAGTCGTTGGCAAAGTTTTAAATTATGAACTTCTGGGAGTAAAGCTTGATTTGACCCCCAAAGAGTGGTTCCAGAAAAAACGAGGACAGGAAAGAATAAGACCATGAAAATCAGTAATAAAAGAGGCTGCAAAATTATAAATGAAAAAATGGGGGGAAATGAGTTGGATATTTGTTCTGTCACAGCAAAGAGCTTAATGTGAGGGCCTGGGGAAGAGAATGTCAAAGGTTTGTGTAAAACATAAAGTCTGTTACATATTAATATTTGGAAAAACTCCTTCATATTCATTTTTGCAACTTAGATAATTGTAAATATGGGAACAGAATCAATGCTAAAAACAGGTAATGTGAAAGCAGAAACAACAATATTGGTGGCATAAGTAAAAATGGAGGGATGTAGTGTAGTAGTACAAAAGTACAAATTGATGCAATGTTTATTTGGAGATTTGCTGAATAAATAAATTCATGAGCAAATAGTAAAGAAAATACAGCCTTTGAATTAACACAAGAATAAACATGGATTCCTGTATTATTAGTACCAAATGATATGTTAAATAAATTAAATAAGATGATTAACATTTTGTCTTGTACATTTAATAATTCCCCTGGAATTCTTTAGGAATGCACTACACACACACAGTGTGTGTGTGTGTGTGTGTGTGTGTGTGTGTGTGTGAAGCTCATCTGAAAAGATAATGAAGTATTGTTGAGCTTACAGATATGGTATATGAATAGAATATGTGAGGCCTTAGGGTCCATATAAGATCAAAGTTGTATAATAAATACTGAGCCAATAATTCAATAATATGGATTACATGAACAGAGTTTCTAATGACTATTATAGGAGACATTCTGCCATTTTCTCTAACACAGAATATTAATTACACATGTAAACAAAAACTGAGAAGTATATTTCATCAAGCTGTGTATTACATTACTTCCTGCAGCAGACCTATTGCCACAATTAAGGTCACAGAGTTAGAGAATAAATGAGTTAAAATACAAACTGAAGGCAAATAGTGTTTCAAAGTAAAAGAAAGCATAATTTGAATTTGTAACAAACAATTTGTAATTAAGCTCATGCCCCAAAAGTATGCTGTCCAAAGAAAGATTTGCTCAGTCTTCCAAGAGGCTTACTTTATAAGCATGAACCATTACAAACAGTCCTATATTTTCAAGCTATCCAAAAGTCATTGAACTTTTATACCTAGCACAACTATTCTATAAAAAACCAAAATGGCAATGTTAGTATAGCAAGACGCAAAAGGGAAAAATATCTGTGACAGAGTTAAAACTTTGAAAATGTTATTTTAAGCAACTAAATTACTTTTTGTAAACAATGAGACTTAACAATGATAATTTAGTCCCTCAAGTAAAGTTCTTTCCTCAAATTTAGAGAGCTAAAAAGTCAAACTCAAGAAGACTATATAGACTTTACACTTTTGAAGCACTTTTCCTACATAAATCAGTATTGTGAAATTTACCTGAACAGTATGATTCTACTTGCTTTGTTGCTGGCACTTCACCCGAAAAAGAATCTCTCCCTTCAAAGGGAAGCTGTAAAGATTTTGAAAAAAGATATTTAGCGACACATGTGTGTTTCAAATAATATGATTGTAATAACTCAGAGTAAAATGTAAACTTATTACCTTCAATTGAACATATTCATTAGGACAGTCTAAAAAGCCAGAGATATATAGTTAATTATACGAGAACATGACAAAACTTGCCACAATTTCATGAAGAATTATTATTAAAAACATTCTTTATAAGTATTTTTCTAGAGGAATTATGTATATTATTCAAGTACACCAGAATAAAAAAAAAATGTTATAATTAATCAAGGTTTATTCAAATTGGAAAAAAAAACATTCTTTGTGGTTAGCTCTTACAATGATTATGCTAATTTGGGATGTGGGAAGTTTTGGGATGTGGGAAGTTTTTACTTTTTGTTTTCTCCCGAAGAAAACACACATATTAGAAATCTACTGAAAACTGGATAGACTACATAATTTTAATCAAATGACAACTTTCAAATTAGGATTATGATCTTAGTGAATATTTCCAAGGTGTCATTTCTAATGGGTAGAGAATAAAATGTATCTATAATATCAGGATGAAATCAAGAAACCAAGGTAATATGTAAACAGCCAAAACTGATTATAGCATGGGACAGACTGTATCTTCAGCAATGAAATACTTCACAGTCATTAATTCTAGTGTTCTGTGAGAGTTTACCATGCCCTTCACTTTATATCTAAATTACAAGCAATTACTTTTCACAGAGATGAGAATTCAAGAATGTTTCTGAATTTAACCCTATGGCTCTTCACTTGTAGAATCATAGCACATCTCTGCGGGTCCACTTGGAGTTCCTGCAGGCAAGATCCTTGACCCCCAAATCCGGGCCCCTGCCAAAGAACGAGGTCTCAACTGGAGAGCGCAGGTTTCCAGTGAGATCCCACTACCCTGCAAAACCTTCTCAAGTTCCAGCCCAGCCCTCGTCCTCTTCTGCCGGCTATTGGCCAGAGGTGAGTCTGGGCCCAATTGGGGCTGCCTGTCCCCTTCAACCTCTTTTCTCCCCTCCCCCGCCTGAACTCCCTGGATTGGCCCCTGATCCTGCTGCTCCTGTCTCCGGTCCCCTTTGAGAGCACCCTTGCAGCTCTGATATACCCCCACCCATTCCAACCTCCAGCCTACCCCCCCCCACCCTGTGCCCTACCCCACCTACGGTCCTGCCGCTCTGGTTGAGCACTGGGACAGAGGGTGGAGCCAACAGTCCACCCTACTTCGGAGACCTCTCGGGGCAACTCCGAACAAAGGAGACCTGACTATCCACGTGGGACCACCTGTAATTTCCACCGGCTTGGTCCCTGACCCAGCCTCCAGTCCTCTGCTGGAGTCCCAGGCCCCTCCCAGAGATCCGCCTATCTCTGCAGGTCCACTTGAAGTTCCTGCAGGCAAGATCCTTGACCCCCAAATCCGGGCCCCTGCCAAAGAATGAGGTCTCAGCTGGAGAGTGCCAGTTTCCAGTGAGATCCCACTACCCTGCAAAACCTTCTCAAGTTCCAGTCCAGCCCTCGTCCTCTTCTGCCGGCTATTGGCCAGAGAGAAGCCTCCTAGAGAGCTTGGACCACACAGAGATACAGACATTGAATCTTTGATCCACATAAGCCCATCTGGGAAGGACCATAGAGAGAGGGAAGAGACACCACCAACACCTACAGGAAGAAACTATGTGAAGAAGGCAATACAAGAGAACACCTAACAACAGAAAGACAAACATGACACCACCAGAATCTAGGGAATCTACACCAACTAGAATGGAACACAACAACAAAGCAGAGGAAGCAGAAGGGTACACTTAAAAATCACCATCATAAAAATGATAGAGGCCCTCAAAGAAGATATGAGAAAATCCCTTAAAGAAATAGAGGAAAAAATAAACAAAAAAGTGGAAGAAATGAACAAATTCCTTAAGGAAAGTACAGAAAGCCAAGAAAAAACAATTAACCAGGTGAAGGAAACGGTTCAAGATTTGAAAACCGAAATTGAGAAAATAAAGGCAACACAAATGGAAGGAAAGCTGGAAATTGAAAAGCTGGGCAAAAAATCGGAAACCATGCACACAAGCATAACCAATAGAATTCAAGAGATGGAAGAGAGAATCTCAGGCGCAGAAGATAAACTAGAAGAAATAGATTCATCGACCAAAGAAAACCATAAATCCAACAAATCCTTAACACACAATATCCAGGAAATGTGGGACACCATGAAAAGGCCAAACCTAAGAATAATAGGCATAGAGGAAGGTGAGGAAGCCCAGCTCAAAGGTGCTGAAAACATATTCAACAAAATCATCGAGGAAAACTTTCCAAATCTGAAGAAGGACATGCCCATGAAAGTACAAGAAGCATACCGAACCCCAAATAGGCTGGACCAAAGAAAAAAGACCCCTCGACATATAATAATCAAAACACCTAGCATACAGAATAAAGAAAAAATATTAAGAGCAGCGAAGGAAAAAGGACAGGTAACATATAAAGGCAGACCTATCAAAATTACACCTGACTTCTCCATGGAAACCCTCAAGGCCAGAAGGTCCTGGATAGATGTTCTAAAAGTATTAAGAGAACACGGATGCCAGCCTAGGCTACTATATCCAGCAAAACTCTCAGTCAATATAGATGGAGAGAACAAGATATTCAATGACAAAACCAGATTTTCCCAATATGTATCTACAAATCCAGCCCTACAGAAAGTATTGGAAGGAAAATTCCAACCCAAGGAAGGTAACTACGCCCACAAAA